CCCATGACCCTCATTGCAATCTCTGGAGTCATAGACGAATACAACCACCCCCATCAGCAACTGATCGGTAGACATCCACCTGTTATACTCTGGATTTTGGGTTACTCTCACAGCTTCAACTTCATCAGGGATGGATTGAGTACCAATGAACTCCGGTGGGCATTGTTTTGTACCTAGCAGATACCCTTCAAGGTTGTGGCCCTTGATAATAGGCATAATCATATTCTGCCATAACAGGAAATTGTTTTTATCCACCTTGATCGATGGAGTTTGAGTGAGATTCATCCCAAATGGTAATGACTGGTACACAGTAGCTTCAATAGCCGGTGAGGGATTCATTTCAGTTGAGGCAGCTTGGCTTGCTGTGCCGGTGTCAGCCATTGTGGCTCTGATACCAAGTTAAAAACTGAACTTAAACTTGTGTAATTTTATACAAATGGAAGATTAAGTTTGTTGTAATTTTATCAGCACTCTTTATACACCTTAAGTTGCTTCTATATTTATACAAATATGGTAGGTGGAATTATCCTATCATTGGAATAATATTCCTTCACTACCAATACATTATTGCCAAGTGTCTAACTGAAAATATTCTTCCACTCCTAGAATTAAGGAGCTGTTTAGTGGCACTTGATAGAATGGTTGAGCTGAGGCACTAGCATGCTGAGTGGAATTGGTTGAATGGTTGAGTTGGTTGATTAATTCTAACATCACATATAAATGCATTTATCTATAGAAATTCAACATGGATCGCATAGCCTATAATTATCTCTCGATCTCTTGTAATGTTTATGTTAATTATTGCACGAGCTAGAATTAAACATCACTTCTCGGCCTCAGTATTATCCCTAAATCAATTAATTGTTGCGCTAACAAATAGTAGCATTAAACACACAATAATTAATTAACAAGTACTAAAATGACATTTAAATATTGAAATTAAACATATAATAAAATTCTTAAGCTACATCATCAATCCTAACAAGAAAAATATTCAGCCACTCATAACGTAGAAATTAAACACGCAAAAGTGGAAAGACCGCCAAAAATTGACGAAACGTGATTAGTTCCAGTTGAAACTTCCTGCTTTGGTTTCCCAAAAGTTGCCCACTAAACGTGTTGTATATATAAATAAATCAAAGGCTGCCTTTTTTTTTTTTTTTTCCCAGAAGCTACTTCCTGTGCGTGAATGTGTGTATTTGTAAATCAAAAAGCTGTCTCCAATTCTTCAATTTTTGCTGTCGGCTGTGTGTGTTTATATATATGAATTTATGCCCAAAAACTTGTTCCACAAGCTGCCAACTTTTGCATGTGAATAATATGTGTTCAGCCCCTGTTTTTCTCCAGAATTCTGCTGGCTTCTTCTGCTCAAGCTGCCTTTTTTTTTTCTTCTCAGTGAATCCGTCGACTCCCCTCCAACTTCTCGGTGTGTGTGTGTATATATATATACACATAAATTCTGTCCAATGTTCTCTTTATCTCTATATTTAATCTCAGGCCGCCAAATTCTGTACTTAAATAGAAGTTCAAATTGAGGCCCAATTAATTGCTTGCTTCCAAGTCCTTGTACTATGAATTTTTCCATTTTCCGCTATTTTGCATTCTTTTCTTCAATTCTTCATTAAATATAAAGTTTTACCTACAAAATATAATATAACATAAATTAGGTAGAATTTTATTCAAAAGACAATAAAATATGATGATTTAGAGCCTCGAATAAATATAAAAACTACACCTATCAGTTATATATTTGAAGGCGGTAAGGTTAACCTTTAATTATAATTAATTAATTGAAAGCACCTATTAACAATATATGCAATTTTAGATGGATAATTGCACAAACTTCATAATGAAATCGGGCATATGCTACTTGGCAAATAAAATTGGGCATTTGCAATCCACTATGTAATTAATTTAAAGCAGCAAATTTAATTCAAAAGTGGTTCAGACGAGCACTACTCGGAACGTTAGTGGAGTCCCGCATCTTGAGTTGAATCGTCATCTCCCTACAGATAGAATTAGGTATCTCTATTGGAGAATAACTTTTTTCTCTTAGATTATGTTATCTTCTGTTGTGATTTTTTTCCTTGCTTCAAATAATTTACAAATTTAAGTTAAAGCAGCATATTCAATTCACTTCATTTAAAAAATTGAATATCAAATGTTATAAAACCATAGTTGAATTATTGCATATAATTTCAATTTAAAAGTGATTATAAAAATTGATTATTGCAAATTCTTACCTGAATGGAAGAAATACAAGAAAACACTAGGAGGAGATGGAAAAGAGTTGTTCTTTATTTTGGGATTTGGAGTTTTCACAAATCTCCCATTATATGAGAGATTTGTTTTGTGATTTGCTATTTATACTTTTCATCAAAAAGTCTCCAAAAATCCTGTAAGTATGAAATTCCCTAAAAGTCACTCTCAATATGAATACCATGTGATTTATAGATACTTCTAAAAGGTTTTAATTAAATTCTCTTGTGACATTTGAAGACTTTTTTAAAGGCTATAAAAATCTCTATTAAATGCACCAATAATTTTATAGACTCTTAAAAAGTCGGCATTAAATACTTCTAAATTTTTTAGAAGTTTTTAAAAGTCTCAATTGAATACTTCCAGGCATTCTAAAGCAATTCTCTTTACACTTAATTGCGAGTATGGAATTTGCATGGAAATAAAATAAATTTTAAGCAATTCAATTGCATAGAACTTATTTGTGTGAAAATTATTAATTAAATGTGTTTGATTAATTTAGTTTTCGACATAGAAAATATATACTTGTCTATTTTTTATTGGTAGGTAAATGAAAGAGAATTGATACATGAGAGAGAGTGAATTACATAGAAAATAAAAATCACATCTCTCTGAAGAAAATATTTTCCTGATTTTCAAGAAAAATATAATCATGTGACCAAAAGTAAGGAAATATTTTCTGTAGAAAAATTTGTCAATCAAACAGCACAAAAGTAGAAAATTAGGTTTAAAAAACACATTTTCCATGAAAATATTGGCAATTAAATGCACCCTTAGAGTTTAGCTAAATAGAATTGAATAGCTTAAAGAAAAAAATTGTTAGAAAATAAGCAAGATACTACAATCGCTCTGATACTAGTTTATTATGAAAACAGGAAGATGATATCGGATTAATTCAATACAATATTGTTGGGGAAAAAAAAAAGAGAGATTATAGTTACAATATGAAATAATTGATCATAATAATACAAAAATAAAATAATTTGCAGAATACAATGATTTTGTATTTATGATTTGTCTAACTTAATGTAAAATACAGTGAAGAACTAAATATATATATAGGGAACAATATAAGCCCTAGAAGTAGAGTTATACGTGAAATAGAATGCTCAAAAGTTTCATTGTCTTGATCTCTTGAAATCAAACATAAATTACAACTCTCAATAGGGTTTCCAAATAGAATTTCAACTAGAATTTGCCAAATAAATTTCGAATAGGATTCCAAAAGCATTCTAAATAGAATTCTTGTTAATATGCACTTTTGTTAGAACTCTCAGTTATTTACAACAAAAATTTCTTGTCATACCCAAATTCTAATAAAATTTGTGGTAAGAATTAGCATTTCTCTTCTTAATTCATTTTATTTAACTTGGTGTACTAAACAAACATTGATATGACTGTCAACTATTCCGTCAACAGGTATGCTTCCACGAATCCTATCCTAAATCAACTAAAAATTAGCATTTGAACATAATGGTGTGTCAACATCATTAAAAAAAATATAAAACACAAATTTGAAGGGCCGACGCCTAAAAGCTTGAATTTTTTTTAAAAAATCCAATTTTAATACATTACGTGTAGACTTGCCTTGTTCAAAAAGAAGAAAAACAACTGACCAAGATTTATTTTATCAACTAATTTTGTCTATAAAATAACGAATATTGTAACTTCTATATTTAAACGAGTTCCAAATATGGTTTAATTAACAAACAAATAAAAAATTGTCAAGGTTAATTTATTGTGTATGCACATCGCATCCCACTTGTTATTTAGATGTAAATTGCATTGGAAAATTCCATTAGTACATTCACAATTTTCATTAAATACGACTGATAGGTTGTAAGTCAATACAATTACATTTCAATTGAAATGTTTTTTTGTGCAAAGTCGAAATCCGCCCTTGACAATTCCACAAACACTAAGAAGAGATAATGTTCTAGACTGAACGCAGAGTCGAAATCTTCCATTGACAATGCACTTAGGGATCAATTTTTATTAGAAAAAATATTTGTCAACAACAAAATTTAAAGTCATGTCAACTAGACCACCTAAATGTGAGATTCGTCGAAAGTACATCCCTAATTATTGTACTTCAAAATGAAGTCTACAATTATTGTACTTCAAAATGAAGTCATCGAAACAAACGTTGGATTAAAGACAGAGAAATTTCATAGAAACCTTTTCAACATGAAAAAAATATTTCCAAGAAAGTTCCATAAAATTTTGCTTCCTTCCTATGTACGCGTTTCAGCACGCCGTCCGCGTTCACGCTGCTTTCCAAAAAGATGGAGACTGTTTCTTTAACAATTTTCTGCGTTCCATCGATAAAATTTCCTCGAAAATATTATGTAATAATCCTAAACTTGTCATTCTCAAGATTCACCCACAGACACAAACCAACCCCAGAAATATTATGTAATAATCGGACACCTTCAGGCTTCAGAGATAACCTAATCAGCAAATCCCTTAGGTATAGTATAAATATCAGCTTGTTGTGATGACGAGATGACAGAAATCAAACAAGAAGCATAATTGGTTTCGACATGGAGTTGACACAAACAAACGCCATTTCATCCTTGATCGTTTTACTAAATAGAATTCTTTGTTGGGATACTGAGAAATTTTTGGTAAGTGTCCATTTCTTCCTTCAAACTTTTCCAAAGTTTTTATCTACCAAATGGAACCTCTGGAGGAAATCCGAAGCATCTAACAGTGAACAATCAAACGAAGAATCAAGAATTATGGAGACCTCAATCAACGAAAACTTTCAGAACACGGAGCTGAATATGGTGATGGATAGGCTGAATATAGTGAGAGCAGAAGATGGAGAAGACAGCATTTTCGGTGTGGACGAGTTTTCAGCGCTGTTTGATGAAGAGCCCAGCTTGCAAGAAGTTAAGGAAACTTTCGATGTTTTCGATGAAAAAAAAGATGGTTTTATAGATGCTAATGAGCTTCAGAGAGTTCTGTGCAGACTTGGCCTAAAGGAAGGATGTGAATTGGAAGAATGCAGAAGGATGATTAGAGCTTTTGATGAAAATGGAGATGGACTTATCGATTTTATTGAGTTTGTGAAATTCATGGAGAAATGCTTTTGTTAAAAGCATTAAATATGAACTTTTACCATCCACTTTAACCATTTGGCATTACATATGAAATTGATTTACATGAAAATATGAACTTCTTTTGACTAACGGAGATTTGTGAGAACTATCAGCCAATCTAGATTTGCAGGTTCGAAATGCCATTGTATTCGACCCCTACATTCAGAATTTCAGATTACTCATATCGCCGGTCATATGGTAGCACCCGAGTCACGACCACGTGTTGTTGTCATTCAACTTAGTGGCACAACATATGTAGAGCAATAAGCGTGTAGTGTTGGCCATCATTATGAGTGAAAATGTGCTTAAACTTGACGCAGAATTCAACCATCAATAACAATAAAAGAGTTTTGTTCGTAAGACATGAATAAGTGTTGCTTGATTTTCGCTCGAACAAACAAGAGAAATACTGGAATTCACTAGATAACAGAAAAATTAAACGATTGTAGGATTATCAAACCTCAATAAATATTTAAAGACTCAAAATAAATTCTAATCAAATCGAAATTTTAATTCAATAGACAAATCTGAATAAATTTAAAAATTACAAAAATGACGAAAATATCCTTAAACTAACTAATAATAGATAAACACTAGAACTAAACGTTAGAATTTGGAACCAAAAGTTCGATGATATTTTTCGAATGCTAAACAAAAAAAGGCTTACGGATTATACTTGTTCGCGAAAATTTGGCGATTGTACTGAAAGTTGTAAGTTTTTGAATATCTTTCTTATTTCATCTCTTCCACGTCAAAACCTGGTACTTGTCATTCTTCGATAGTGCTAAATTGAACTACTTGTCCCTCTCCCCACTCAAAAAATGCCACCATGCCACATTAGTTACCACATAATAAAGTGGTAATTAGCATTTGTACCTTACTTTTTTTTTCCAACTTTTAACATACTAAATTTATTTTAAAAAAATACATTAATACTAAATTAAATCATACCTTTTCATCTAATTATGTACTACTAATAATTAAATAAATTTTCAAAATTATAAATATTTCAACCTTTTTTTGGATCTATTTTAATCTTGGATTATTCTAGTTTTAAAAAAATAAGTTCACAAAATGAGTGTGACAAGATGTCCAAACTTTTCATTTAACCAAACTTTCAAAAATTTGCATATGAAGTCCATTCTGACGTAATTCATTAGTTCATCTGCTAGTTGACGGTCAGCCCAAAATTTGACTAATTTTTAAAGGGTAAAAGAGTCAATTTATATTTTTCATATAAAATTAAAATAATTAAATCAAGAAATAAAAGAAAAAGAATTTAACATCTTTCCCTCCCCATCCCCAAATCCAAATCCAAATACATTCATCCGTCGTTGGGCAACCGCTACCGCTGGCGTCGGGACACACACAGAGACACATCACAACAACCAAATATACCCATCATCAACCATCCACCACCACAACCACCTGAGACAATATCAAAAAATCAAGAGTAACAAAAAATTCATCTTCTCCTTCGAATTTCTTCTAGCAAGAGTAACAAAATTCATGAATTGTTGGATGGGTAAGAAGAAAGAATATCAGAGCATGAGCAAGATTATCATCAAGAAACAACAATTTAGAAAAATACAAATAAATTGTAAAGATAGACAGAATTTTGGATCAAAATTTTGTTGAAATTATATCATTCACAACAATCCGAATTTGGGTTGCTTGTAATATCATTCAAAAATTTTAGTGCAATGCAATGAAAAATCCCCTCGTTGCTTGTCCTTCTGCCTATTGTTTAACATTTAAAATAGGCATTTGATAGTTGGATTTTACACCGAGAAGATTGGTCATCATGATTTTATTTAGTTTTCGAGTGAACTTTACTATGAAATACAAAAAATATTTCAAATATTTAGTTTATAGTAATATGAATATTAAAACCAGATTTCGGGAACTATTTGGTATCCCCAAAAACCTCCTCTGCGAACCTTACCGAATTCCTTGCGAAGCGCATAACAATATGCGAAGGTAATAGAGGCATGAACGGCTCGCGTAAAATAAAAGCCAACTGGTCCATCATCCAGGCTAGCCACAAGCTGTCAATATGCACATAAAGCATGATGCTTGTAACAAAATCAGTCACTACTAAGCCAATGAGGAGCTGCTATATGTCATTCTTCTAAAATGACTAGATTACCCCTAGACTTGGAGATCTATTAATACCTCTTCATCTGAAGAGAAACACATGTAACTAAAACATCTATCTCTCAAATAGCTATTTCTCCTCTCATTCCAGATTGAGCATCCAAACTAGTGAGTTTATGTAATGAAAATGATAGTTAGGTTAGTAGGATTTGTTGATCAGATTTCTATCGTCAACACTCTCATCATACTAGGGTACGTATTTTGTCTTCCCAATATGTTTTTTTAAGTTAACAGATCACAAAACTTATCGATTAAAAACACGAAGAATCTCATGAAATCCATTTTTAACGACTGAATCAAATCAAATTACGAATGTGACAAAATAAGGTACACTAGGTCACACACCAATAATGAAGATAATAATAAATTTCAACTATTATTTAGGGTCACTTTATTTGGAGGGTGAAAACTACATTCTAATTAAAGATCACTTGATTGCCTTTCTATCCATCTATCTAGTAAGGAAGATGGGTTGCACAAAATTAATTAAAAAATGTGTTACATTCAAAAGCCTGATTTTTTTTTTAAAAAAAAATATTTCAAACTTATCTTTTTTCAAAATGTCACATAGGTGCTTGTTTGATAAATATTTTTTAAGAAGTGATTATTTGAAGAAAAAAGAAATTGTTGATACTTGATTAAAAGGTAAGGAAATGTTATGAAGAATCGTAAAAAATATTTTTTGTTTTTAGATGTACGGTTGAAAATGAGTACTCACGTAATAAACGTCAGGTAAAGGCATTCCAATTTTTCCCTAAAATTTTATTAGAAAAGTTATTATTAGCTAACCCACCCTACCAAAAATCTTAGGTCGTCCCAATTAAACCACCTAAATGTGAAGTGCCCCGAATTTACGGCCCATTTCCCCACTCGAAAAATGCCACCATGCCACACCAATTAATGCACAATAAAAGAGAAACGACTTTTTTGTCCAATTTGAGCAAGAAACTGTCAACTATCCTGAATTTTTGGTCCAACGTGAAGTCATTGAACAGACGTAGGATTAAACTTCGTAGAGAAAAAAAAAACATTTCCAAGAAACTTCCTTACATTTTCTTGCCTTCCACTAAGACAGAATTGTTGTTTTTTTTTTTATTACTCATATCGCTGGTCATATGGTAGCACCCGAGTCACGACCACGTGTTGTTGTCATTCAACTTAGTGGCACAACATATGTATAGCAATAAGCGTGTAGTGTTGGCCATCATTATGAGTGAAAATGTGCTTAAACTTGACGCAGAATTCAACCATCAATAACAATAAAAGAGTTTTATTCGTAAGACATGAATAAGTGTTGCTTGAATTTCGCTCGAACAAACAAGAAAAATACTGGAATTCACTAGATAACAGAAAAATTAAACGATTGTAGGATTATCAAACCTCAATAAATATTTGAAGACTCAAAATAAATTCTAATCAAATCGAAATTTTAATTCGATAGACAAATCTGAATAAATTTAAAAATTACAAAAATGACGAAAATATCCTTAAACTAACTAATAACAGATAAACACTAGAACTAAACGTTAGAATTTGGAACCAAAAGTTCGATGATATTTTTCGAATGCTAAACAAAAAAAGGCTTACGGATTATACTTGTTTTTGAATATCTTTCTTATTTCATCTCTTTCACGTCAAAACCCGGTACTTGTCATTCTTCGATAGTGCTAAATTGAACTACTTGTCCCTCTCCCCACTCAAAAAATGCCACCATGCCACATTAGTTACCACATAATAAAGTGGTACTTAGCATTTGTACCTTACTTTTTTTTTCAACTTTTTAACATACTAAATTTATTTTTAAAAATACATTAATACTAAATTAAATCACACTTTTTCATCTAATTATGTACTACTAATAATTAAATAAATTTTCAAGATTATAAATATTTCAACCTTATTTTTTTGGGTCTATTTTAACCTTGGATTAATCTAGTTTTACAAAATAGGTTCACAAAATGAGTGTGACAAGATGTAGACCATTGATTTTAAAAACAGGTTTTGAAATTATTGGCCTAAATATTGCCAACACATATTTTGTACACTTACTATGACTCTTTAATCTTTCCTATGAGTCTATCATGTGACTTTGAAATTCTTATTTACTTAATAAAATAATGGATGCAAGTGTATTACCTTTCTTCAAAACTTAGAGGCTGTATATTCAATTGGAATTTTTAAAGGCTTTTCGAAATTTAAAAAGTTTAGCTGGTTTCAATAAAAACTTTTTGAGACTTCCTCAAAGTATTGATGTATTCTATCAAGACTTTTATAAGGATCTGCTCGGGAGTTTTATTTTCACCGATTTTGACCGGTTTTCGGTAACACCGTTTATGAGACTTTAGAAGAACTGATGCTTGCCATATTTTTTAGTCATCGATTTTGGATGGTTTAAAAACCATCAAATGGATGGTGCAGTGCAATTTTGACATGTTCTTTCAACCACTAAATCGATCGTTTTTTGCCGTTTCTCAAATTCTCTTCTAGTTTTACCTTTTATAAAATAATTATTTTCAACAAATACATTTGTTAATACTAACTTATGAATAAAATACACAAATTAAAAAATTATTTATAAGCAAAAAAATTATACTATAATTAAAAATTACTTATTTTTTTGTGTAAAAATCTTACTAATAAGACAAAAAAATCACTTATAAAATATAAAAAGTTACTTATAAGTAAAAAATTCGCTCATGTGTAAAAGTTGTTTAAAAGTGCGAAATTAACTTATAATTATAAATTTTATATATAACTAAGAAATACTAACATAAGATTTTAAGTAAATATTTAACTTTATTTAATTTTTTAAGTTAAATATTAACTTATATGTCAAAAAAATTTATTCAACCAAAAACTCAAAATTTCACTAACGAACATATATATAACTTATTTTAAAAAAAAAATTAAAATCGTTGGATAATAATCTCCTAAGTATTTGTTGGACCGTTCTACCATTTATAATCGGTCCGCTCATAAACGCTCATAATCAGTACTTTAAAAAAAGCTCATGACCGATACTTTGGAACTCCCAAGCAATCTGTTAAAAAGTCTTTAAAATTCTCAGTGTATTCAATTAAAAATATTTAAAAGTTTCTATAAGTCTTGAAGTATTCAAATTGTCACTGACCTTTAAAATTTTTTATAAATATTTCTATGGTATTAACTTTTAAGCTAAAAATACAAAAATAAAATCTCAAAATTTGTATATCATTCATCTCAAAATTTTGGGAGATTTTATATGCCTTTTTTTAGTTTCTTTCAATGTTTCGTTTTTCTTTTCCTTTATACGGATATTAGAGCCATTTTTTATTTTTTATTTTTTTCCATCAGCTAAACTTGTTTCTATTTTTCTCTAAAAATTGTTATTTATCTAAACTAGGTTTATACTTCAACATGAAGGCATCAAAACAGACGTAGGATTAAAGCAATAGAAATTTCATAGAAATCTTTTCAACATTAAAAATAAATTAATATTCCTATGAAACTTCTTTACCTTTTCTTGTCCTTCTAGGAGAGAATTTTTCTTTAACAATTTTTCGGTGCTCCATCATAAAATATTCGTGGCATCGACACACACATACACACTCCAAACCCACTAAATTTGTTAGGATAAATTTATATGTACATTATTATTGTACATAATGGATTACATAGGCTCATGTGGAAAAAATCCGATCGTGGATGTGAAGTGTGGAAAAGTAAAAAATTGTAGAATACCGATGGATGCGCGCCACATGTCAATTATGTATTGTATTATATAAATGATTAAGTACTTGTAGCATGGTCCAATTTGTTATGTAATAATGTGACAGATAACCTAATTCCCTAGGTAAAAATATGACGACAATGTTAGAATATTTTATATGGAGTCGGGCTTACATAATTATTAGGGAGAATTACGGTTACGGTACCAAGCCTTTCATTTTATAGAAGACTTAATTCAAACCTTTCATTTAACCAAACTTCCAAAAATTATCATCTGAAGTCCAATATGAGTCCAATATGACGGAATCCATTAGTTCATCTGTTAGTTGATAGTCAACTCAAAATTTGACTAATTTTTAAAGGGCAAAAAAGGTAATTTATATTTTTCATATAAAAGAATTAAAATAATTAAATCATGAAATAAAGAAATAAAAGAAAAAGAATTGCAAAAATGACGAAAATATCCATAAACTAACTAGGAACAGATAAATGCTAGGACTGAACATTAGAATTTGACCCCAAAAGTTTGATGATATTTTTCGAATGCTAAACCAAATAAGGCTTACGGATTATACTTGTTAGCGAAAATTTGGCGATTGTACTGAAAGTTACACAAGTTTTCCAATATCTTTCTTTTTTCATCTCTTCCGCGTCACAAGTTTTCGAATATCTTTCTTATTTCATCTCTTCCGCGTCAAAACCTGGTACTTGTCATTCTTCAATAGTGCTACATTGAACTACTTGTCCCTCTCCCCACTCAAAAAATGCCACCATGCCACATTAATTACCACATAATAACGTGGATATGTACTACTAATAATTAAATAAATTTTCAAAATTATAAATATTTCAACCTTTTCTTGGATCTATTCTAATCTAGGATTATTCTAGTTTTAAAAAAATAAGTTCACAAAATGAGTGTGACAAGATGTCCAAACTTTTCATTTAACCAAACTTCAAAAATTTGCATGTGAAGTCCTTTCTGACGTAATTCATTAGTTCATCTGCTAGTTGACGGTCGGCCCAAAATTTGACTAATTTTTAAAGAGTAAAAGAGTCAATTTATATTTTTCATATAAAATTAAAATAATTAAATCAAGAAATAAAAGAAAAAGAATTTAACATCTTTCCCTCCCCATCCCCAAATCCAAATCCAAATACATTCATCCGTCGTTGGGCAACCGCTACCGCTGGCGTCGGGACACACACAGAGACACATCACAACAACCAATTATACCCATCATCAACCATCCACCACCACAACCACCTGAGACAATATCAAAAAATCAAGAGTAACAAAAAATTCATCTTCTCCTTCGAATTTCTTCTAGCAAGAGTAACAAAATTCATGAATTGTTGGATGGGTAAGAAGAAAGAATATCAGAGCATGAGCAAGATTATCATCAAGAAACAACAATTTAGAAAAATACAAATAAATTGTAAAGATAGACAGAATTTTGGATCAAAATTTTGTTGAAATTATATCATTCACAACAATCCGAATTTGGGTTGCTTGTAATATCATTCAAAAATTTTAGTGCAATGCAATGAAAAATCCCCTCGTTGCTTGTCCTTCTGCCTATTGTTTTAAATTTAAAATAGGCATTTGATAGTTGGATATTACACCGAGAAGATTGGTCCATCATCCAGGCTAGCCACAAGTTGTCAATATGCACATAAAGCATGATGCTTATAACAAAATCTGTTACTATTAAACCAACGATATTTCCGTAAAATTTTATTAGAAAAGTTATTATTAGCTAACCCACCCTACCAAAAAGCTTAGGTCGTCCCAATTAAACCACCTAAATGTGAAGTGCCCCGAATTTACGGCCCATTTCCCCACTCGAAAAATGCCACCATGCCACACCAATTAATGCACAATAAAAGAGAAACGACTTTTTTGTCCAACATGAAGACATTGAACAGACGTAGGATTAAACTTCGTAGAGAAAAAAAGAACATTTCCAAGAAACTTCCTTACATTTTCTTGCCTTCCACTAAGACAGAATTGTTGTTTTTTTTTTCTGTGTTGCTTCGTTATTTCCTCGAAAATTTGTGTGAGATCACCACACGCAGACGACACACACCAAACCCTACACTTTTTATGTAATATAATCTGAAACCTTCAAAGATTGCCATTTTTCCTCAGTATAAATATGATGACCAGAAGTAGAGAAATCACACAAATATACATGCACACAAGCCTCCACCCTCTATCCCCACCACCCTCCTCACCAAGACAAGCTAGAAATATCATTGATTTCAAGATGAAGTTGACACAAACAAACACCATTTCATCTTCGATAGTTGTACTATTTAAAGTTCTTTGTTGGGACATTAGGGATTTTTTTTCAAGTGTCCATTTCTTTCTCCAAGCTTTTCCAAGGTTTTTTTCTACCAAATGGAACCTTTGGGGGAAAGCCAATCCATCTAATAAAGAATCAGGAACTTCCGAGACCTCAAACGACGAAAACTTTCACTTTACGGAGTTGAATATGATAATGAGTAGACTCAGTATAGAGTGTGCAGAAGATGGAAGGGACAAGAGTTTTAGCTTAGACGAGTTTTCAGCATTGTTTAATGAAGAGCCAAGTTTGCAAGAGATTAAGGAAACTTTCGATATTTTCGACGGAAACAAAGATGGTTTTATAGATGCTAATGAACTACAGACAGTTCTGTGCAGTCTTGGCCTAAAGGAAGGATGTGAATTGGAACAATGCAGAAGAATGATCAAAGCTTTTGATGAAAATGGTGATGGACTAATTGATTCTTATGAGTTCGTGAAATTCATGGAGACATGTCTTTGTTGAAGGCTAATATTCCATCTCCTTTTGTCATTCGAGCAATACACTATCTTGAACCACCTAATAAAAAGATCGAACTTCTTTTGATTAATCATGTAGAAATGATATTCTTCCTTCTGCAGCAAATGTGTATTGCATTATA